AAATTGTGCATGAAACAAACTTTCTTCCTTCATTTTGTTTTTAAATTAGCCAATAAATAAAAATCACACGAATGCTCTATAAAATAGATATCATCTACAAAGTGGAAAATATTCTTTCATATTAACTCATTTTGGCCATCTGAAAGCTGTTTAAGTTTAAATCTAAATACTACTATCACCTTCTTATGCAACAAGATGTATATATCATGGACACTCCATGTGACTAAAATTACATTCACACGTACTCCAAGAATCAACAACAATCTGTTTTATGACAGATTACAGTGCCATGTGTGTATTTGTTGCATCCTTAATTGGCAGATGTGTAACTGGTTAATGCTCACAGTTCATCAGCAGCAACCTGCATAGTTTACTAATTGGGCAAACTAAGATAGAGTCATAAGCTGTTTTTACGATCACATCTGCTAATGGATGTAGTCATTAGTAACAGCTGAATGGTATCAATTTAGTTAACAGTTAGTCATGAAACTTCTAAAAACTTTGGAAACATGGCATATTAAATTGTACTTGCATTGCATATCTTTTTACATTTCACTGATGGTTGCAATGCCATCATCGAGACTATTACTTTCATACTGTAAAGTGATTCTGTAAATATGTGGGGATTTGAGTATGCTGAGCTCGTGCATGTCAATGAGAAGAATGAAACATTTCTAAATAAATAAACAAAACAATGGTGAGCCAGCATATAATCTCTGCGTATTATTTCACAACTAACCCAGCAAAAAAAAATCAACAAAAAAATCCAGAGGTTCCCTCGGCTCTTGTGGTAGAAAAAAAAAAGCTAAGAACAGGAAAGAAGATTGGCACAAAGTCACAGATTATGGGCTACTGTTTGTGAATCGTGCACTGGAAAGTTTTTACCTCCAACAGAAAATACTGGTTGGATTGTGTATACCCTAATCTGATTCTATCTCAGCCCTGTCCTCTCCCTGTTTATTCACCAGACACTTTCATAATTCATTACTGTGTCACGCTGGGATCATTTTAAGTTGCTTTATGTTGCAGAGCCAGTAGAACAAAACTCCTCCCATTTGACACCCTGAGCAGACTGATGCCACGGCCTGAAGAAAATCCAGTCTACAACCAATGGAACTAATAAGGCTCGTTGGAACTGCCAGTATCAGACAGAGCAAACCTAAACAGTCCACAGACAGAGGCAGAGCTTCTGGGTTGATGGGTGGAAAACATTTTTACAAAGGACTGGAACACAGTTCAACTCTATGGGTCATAACAAGATAAGGTGGTTAGATGATGGATAGATGTCATGTCTGTGCAAGTATGTATGCAAATTAGTGTGTAATCTAGTTCACCATAGTATCATAGGACTTACTTTCATAAAGCAGGGTGTTTACCTACTTGCTTTGCCAAAACACAAGGAGTAACGGATAAAAAACCCCGCCATAATGGGCATGAACTTCATAAAATTCTCCTAACAAGTAAAACCCGCACTGTAAAGCTTGATCACGGTTGTTAAGAAGACATCATTTTACGGAATCTCAGTTTGGGTGGGTCGGGTGTGTGTTGTAGTCCCAGTTTAGGAGTTAAGATGATAAAACAGGTATATTTTTACATAAAAGCACTGTCTAGAGAATCTTTAAATAAATATATTAGAGTACACTTAAGGTAGCCACTTTAATGCAGATTTAGTTCAAAGTATCTTGAATCTTGGCCCTTTATTTCTTTTTAAAGATCAGGTACAGTGGCTGAGTTAATTGAGTGTCTGATGACTTAACAACTGCAGAGACTTGAGCTGACCTGCATCGTCCTACTGAACAAGACCTTTCAAGATCAATTAAGTAGGAATGCCTGGACAGCATTCTAACGCATTCTGTTAAAACCTGCTTGAAGAACTAAAGCCTCCAAGTCAATTTTTCTTTCGCCCCAACATCTATGATTCCATTTTTGTTTTTTGTTTTTGGGGGGATGGATTACTGCCAGGCACCTTTAAAATGCTTAGGATCATAACAGAAAACTAAGGATTAAATGCATTTACACCCAACACAGCACGTACCACACAGTCTGGCGTCAGAAATGTGTGCCTATCGCACGTGACGTTGATGCAACAGCAGGGAGTGTTGCATTTCAAACAAAGGCAGTGGGGTGTTTATTGTCCTAAATAATCTGCTCACTGAGCATTTCATCAGAACGCTAACCACAGCCCATCATATTCTATGTGCTACTTTTCCAAACAGCAGTGTTTTTTTTTAATGTATTTACGCATTCAGCAAGAGAGATAGCCAGACTCAGCACCTGTCATGAATGTCTATTTCAAGAAGACAACAAAACACCGTTACACTGTGCATTGTTATTTCTGTAAAAATGTCAGTTTAAAACATTGATCAGTAGCACAACTTTAAAGAAAATTGTAAATCTGTTGAAAATGATTTTAAGAGCTGTTCCTTCACTAACTCCAGACTTGCCAGACTCCAATAAGAGATCCAAAGGCCTGAAGCTCCCAACTCATATGTCTCTTGACAGAGAGGTCTATGGCAAGACGAGTTTCCAGTGAAAGAGTCTCTTCTCTTCCGGGTGTTGCAGAAAACACACTTACAGACAACTGCAACACAACAAGGACTAAGCACAAACAGGTAAGAGCTAGTTTTAATAATACAGAATACCTTGTCTGACAATTACATAGAAAGCATTTTACAGGGAATGCTTTTCACAATACACATCCTACCTGCTAATTTAGTCCAATTTACACTAGCTGTACCTTACTGCAACACATGCAGCTTCACATACCAACGACCTGGCCGAGCAACACCCTACCTCCCCTCCCTGTTCACTTGGAGGTCACCAACCAACAGTTGCGTGCATCCACTAATGCTTAAAGTCAAGCTCTTTTTTTCTTGGGGGCTGAAACAGAGAATGAGAGGGAGACTAAGGAGGAGAAAGCAAGATAGTGAGACTTGTTGCGTCCAGCTAGGGGTTGTGTCATTTCAGCCTGACATGGCATAGCAGATTAGAGCCCCTGCATTCTATTGCTTTAGCGTGCGTGTGTGAGAGTGCGTTTCTGTGCGCCTGCACACGTCCCCGGCACTGTTTATGTACGTGCACGAGCTCTGACCGTCTATCCGCTTCCTAGGAGCGCCCTGCAGTGTTCCCAGGCACCAATTATGGTGGGACTTGTCCCTTTTCCCTCTGTATTGGAAGTGATGTGGCTTGCCCTGCAGGGTCGACACCACCACTACACCCACATATCTGCAGAGATTCTGCCAGTGCCTGCGGCCTTCCACCGCAATCCTGGAGAAATGATAATTATGACATCCGCCCACTCAAGAGGCAAGAGATAGTTCAACTCCCTTGCCCCTTGTTCCAGCCCTTTTTTTTTTTTTGACTGATTCAATATTCTGTGGGCTAGCGCTGCCTACTTTCTCCTCGTCTTAGAGTAGCAGAGGCTCTCCAATATATCTGCAGGCTTTCTCTGTCTAAAAGTATTGTGCTTTAATAAAGTTTCACAATGCCTCCTTCCCTGTTACACCCCTGAGCTGATACTTAAAACTGCAGACTAATTTCCTTTGGTTATTACACACATTACAAGCCCACCTATTCAAACACACATTTGCCTTTCGCTTTATTGCAAGCAATTAGTTCAACAGGGATCTAATCAACAATTTTCTGTGGTTGATTATTGGTATTCAACCCCTGGTTCTTTACAGCTAGAGAAAAGAGGGAGATTTTTCATCGATTTCAATTACAGGCAGACCTTTTGTTATTGAGAGATTATTGGGGAAAAGCAGGCACTTGAACAAAGCAGCATACAGTGTGAGTCATCCCGAGTTTGGGCATAATTCATTAAGAGGTTCATGTGTCTCCACAAACAATCAATCAGTAACTCAATTCAAGTTATTCAGACACATACGGCTTCAACAGTGCATACATTTATGCTATGGGGTCCTTATAACTAAGCTATTAGATTATGAATCTTTGGTTCATCCAAGCCAAAAATTGGGATCCAAACTCAATTATGCAATTCACAACTTAAAGCTAATTGGACAGTTCTTTCCTTCATTAACTTGCACTTAAATAGGACTGTAACCTCACCCTGAGATGGGAGGGAAAGAAACAGTAGTCCAAAGTGCAAACTGATTTATTAGGCTTGGGTGAAGTAAAGGTGTATTTAATCAGTCCTGATCTACAGTATGGCCCAGGAATGTATGCTTAATGTTAACATTACTGTAAATGAGATTTACTGCTCAAATAAAACAGGATTCTGATTCAGATATCCTCCTTTCTGATTGGCTGAGGTCTGTTAGCTGTCGTGACGCAGTCCCCATTAAACACACCTGTGACCACTAACTGTAATTATTAATATTCAAAAGCCACTATATTTAGCTATGGTAAAATGCCCCCCAAAAAAGAAGGTGAGCCAGAGAATACTGAACTATTGGGCATTTGAATCAGTGTTATAAATAAATAGAGCCACTTAAACCAAAGTTTTAGGGATTTTTTTTTTTTTTTGGGGGGGGGGGGGTAATAAAAAGCAGCATATGTACAGCACCAGTCTTGATCACCATAAGCCTGCAAGGCGCCGTAGGATACTGTAACTGCGTGTGGCAAACAGCCAGGTGTGCTGGAGGTAATGGAGGACCCTCAGGAAAGCTTTCTCTCCCTCTCTGTTACCTTCCTGTCAAGTCCAGGCACTTTTTATGAAGAATGTCTCTAGGTCATAAAATTATTCTATTCGTTCTATTCTTTATGTTGACGGGTCAGTCCACATAAAGTGTATTTTTCTCCTAATGGTCAAAATGCAGGGGTAAACTGCTCCATAACATAGTTTAGCTAGTTGGAACCTGCCCATAATAGACACCTGGATTCCTCGCTAATCGGCTATTTCAGAATACAGCTGAATGGAAGCTTCCACAAAGCCCACCTGCTCCATAATTTTAACAACACGAAAAAGTAATAAGCACATTACAGTGTGACATTTCAGAGAAATAAGCTATACACAGAAATATTCTTGCTTGGTGGCTTACCGACTAAAACTGATGAAAACAGGAGAAGGCTGCTTCAAATGTCACCGTACTCAGTCCATCAGTACTATACGGGGGAACCGACGCATTGAAGAGGGGCTAACCCCCACCGCACTTTCTCTCTGGTCCTTAAAAACAGGCTGACACACGGGGAAACTTCACAGGGTCCGTCAGTCCCCACTTGTCCTCTCGGGTCCACAGTCTTTCTCGACTCTTAAAAAGCTGTCACACACACTCGCGGGCTGCTTATTATTCCGTTGCACAAGGAGCGCACGGTGATGTTTCACTCCGGTCCCGGGATGATGAGTGTTAAGCCCTCCTCACACAGCCTCCCCGCAATTAATCATGATTAAGTTGCAGGTTCGAGCCACCAGGACAAAACAGTATGGTGATTAAAAAGAGGCTATTCTTTCGCCTTTTACAGTCCGCTCAAAATAATCAAAGCGCGCACTGCGTCCAGCTCTCGCGCCGCGCCGCGCGCTCTGTGTAGTTAACCAATCTGCGATATATTGGAGTTGCTCGGTAATTTGCATGCTGTAGAGGTGGACTACAGACAAGGGAAGTAGCGTCAAGTCAGACACAATGCATAGAAGGAGTTCTGGTGGTGACTTTCAGAATAAAAGCAGAGGTCCTAATGGATTCGAGCTCCAAATTTAATTAATTTAAATCCACATTTGACAATTGTAAATAAAATCCACAAAACCCTCTGAAACAGTTTCATCCCTTACCTGCAACCTTCTAAAGAAAAAGTATAAATACAACAATTTTATTTAGAAGGGAATAACACAAAACTTCCGGTACTTCCCTGTCTGTATCTGGTTATTTTTGATACAGCTGGGGAAGCTCTGTAGCAGTTATACAGAGCTCCTCCTCTTGGAGGTTCTTAACAATACCAAGGAGAAAAAAACGTGCATTGAGGAGCTTTAAATAGCCTGGCTGCAGCACCAAGCCTAAAGGATGGAACTAATGCTATATAACATATACCACTGCATCCAAAACACAGATTAATGTTCCAGTCCAACCAATAAAGACTCCCTTAAGCCATTCATAAAGCACTTAATACAATAGAAACAGTCCTTAAGAGAGACAAAATAAGGTAATTTATTTAAGTCCAGTGGCTGCGCCTTTGTGGGGGATGAGCACAGTGGCATATTGCACACCTTCCATCATGCAGCGAACTGGGGTTCAAGCTGGTCTGTGTCCTTGAACAAGACACTGAAGTGCTACCAATTCCAGCTGAGTTGGAACTCAGCCTGACCTCTGACCTCCCTGTGGTGCAGGAACTGATAAAGTGTGTTATTCATTATTCCAGCTCATGCTTCTGTGTGATGAGTAAAAAAAGGCCATACAGTACATTACCTATGATAGCATCTGATTCATAAGCATCTAAACCCCTGCTGGAATTCTCTGCTGCTCACTGGCTGATCACTTTCAGATGGGTCAGGAATGTCTCCCTCATGCTGTGGTTTTACGTGTCTTACCTCTTAAAGCAAAGTGGGTTTGTCGCAGGATTAGTGTAAATTTAACTCCCATCTGGAACATCACAGAGTCGGGCAAGTCCATGCTTGACCTCGTCAGTTACCCAACCCAGATAAATCTTCTCAAAGGAGGTGGCCAGAGGACTGAGGAAGCCAAAGTGAATAAAAGTGAAAAATTACAACCTTGAAAATACTTGAGAGCTTGTAATGGAAAACCCTAAAAAAACGTAGGCGCTATTGCAGAATGAAAAGGTTAGCTGATATATCGCTTACATTTACACAACCTGGTATCATCTAAAAGTATCTTTTGCAAGTGGATTTACAAAAGTATGTACACAAAATAAAATCAAGCTTTAATAGTGCGTGTTACTTTAATGGCATTGATGTTTTAAGAGCAAGCGTGTATTTAAAAATGCTTTTGCAATGTCACTTTTCAAATAACTCGCCAACCTAATGTCTCACTTCATTTTTTTAAGTAAATATATTGTATACTTTCAGTGGCGCCTTGATGAAAAACGCCCTTTAACTACTTTCTACAATGGCTTTCCTTTTGATGTACGCCACAAAAGTCCAGGTGCTTTATCACATGGACCTGAACTAAAAACAAATAAATATAGAGATTAGATGCATATCTGTGTTTTGTTTTTGTAGACTGGGACTGTAGACAGACTGGATGTAGCTGGCATCTCAACAAGGCTGGTGCATGTTTCATTATTTATGTCTATTTTATTGATCTGTTGTCTGATCACAGAATGCGGTGCTTTTTGGGATGCGCAGATGGGACAACAATAGATGCTAAGCTTCATGCAAAACCTTGTTGGGTGAAATAAATGGCGTTTGTTAGACTTCAGTGGAAGTTGGAGAGGAGAACGTGGATCTGTTGTTTGATCACGTAATGAGGTGCTTTTCAGGATGTGCCGATGGGACAACAATAGATGCTAAGTTTCATGCAAAAGCTTGTTGGATGAAATAAAGGGTGTTTGTTAGACTTCAGTGGAGAGCATGGATACTGACGCTGCAAAAACCTTAATAGCTTTATTTAAAACTATTATTCAAAACTATATTTACAATTCAAATGTTATCTCACACTTTGTGTTACACATTTCACACTGTAGCTCAATAGTAGAACAGTGAACAGACAGAAGGTGGACAAAATAAGAGAAACACCTTACATTGTAAAAAAGGCCCTACAGTAAAACACCAGTCTGGTGTAGCTCGCAGTGTTTGACTTTGTCTGAGACTATTGAGGATCTTGAATCAACCTGATGGCATTTATTGAAGCTGTAGTTTGTACTTGTTCAAGCAAATACCCTGGAACTGTCTCTCAGGTAGCATTGGATTTCTTTTGTGTCTGTGTTTACAGGATGTGCTAGTAGTTTGCCACATTATAGTCTCACACACTTGTAGTGTTTGCATAAGCAGCAACATATTAAAAGCAATTAGTCGTGCAGTAGTTATAGTTAAGTCTGTCAACACTGATACTAAAGCTGAATTAATTCTATTCATGACAGCTGTATAAAAAAATTAAAAAAATCTCATAATGTTTGTTTTTTACCATGGGATCCCTAAGATTCCCCTGCTGTAGTTTATAGGCTTTAAGATACCAAGCCAAATGCTTTAGGCTGCAATGCATGCATCATTTTGTCTCCCGAACACCATCATTAAAAGCAAACTGAAAAGTAGGATGACACTCACAACGGAATCGTCTGTTGGCAATCGTTCAAACACATCTGTTCTATTTTCATCATAATCATTATATACTTAACAGCAAAAAACAAAAAAACAAAAGCTTTACTGCCAGGTCTGAGCATTTTCCCAGTGCTCCAACAGTAATAAGTGTGTTGTGTTGCGATGTTACCTCTCTGTTACCTCTATTTGTTGAAAGGGACACAGCAGCTATTGTATCAACACAATTACATGCCTCCCACTCGCATGATAAAGCAGCAGATATAAGTATTTGAGCTGAGAGAGAGAGAGAGAGAGAACCTGGAGATATTTAAGGGCAGGACAGCATTAGCCAACTGTAATAGCACGACTTCATCTGAGTATTCTCATGTTGGACGTGGGTTGAAAATGCGTGGTTGAAGACTAAAAATGCGTGTTTTATTTGGAGCACGTTCAATTTGCAACAAGGCTATCCAGATTCTCTTATTTAGTGAGAATCTGGTTTAGTTTCTTAGTTACAGCTGTTCTTCTGCATAATGTGAGCGCAAGTCACATATTTCTAAGGCAACTTATTTATTTCCTAAAAAGTTGAGTGTCTACTGAAAAACAGTCCTTTCCTAAACAAAGGCTGGGTTTTTACATAATATTTTGCATAATGGCCCTGTAACAATATGCACAATTATCATCAATGTATTCCACAGCTGTTTGTCTTTTTTTGTTTTTTTTTGTTATTCTCAGTCAAGGTCATAGTCTCTCTCATAGCTGCATTTTTGGAATCAAAAAATCATGCTGTAGATGTGCTCTTGGCTTTGTTTGGACCTGAAGGCATACACATTTTGCAACCCATTCAGAGCCATATCCTCTCTGTTCCTTCTTTTAGTACTTCTGATGTCACTATAAGTCATCTTCATGGGAGTAGCACTGTACCAAAGAAGCCAAAGGAGTAAAACACTGCTGCGTGATGACATTTGAAAGACAGGGCAACTTTTGCTTATATCTCTTCCCAAATAATGGAAGATCCTCCTGCATCTGCGTGTGTTTTTGTGTTGGCCCAAGGAGCTAGCCCACCCACAGTCCTACACTGCACAATTTGTGTGCTGCAGTCTGAAATGTCTCACATACTCTGCATTAGGGATTCTTATGGGGAAAAAATTGACTGGGTAAGACTGGGTAAATTTAGTCTTCCTCCTTGCTGCTCCACTGTCATAAGGAGACCAGAAACTGGCTTTCCAGCCCAAACTTTAGAATCCCATCGAGTATTTTACACTGTTTACCTCCAGCTCTCAATCGTGAAAAACTGGCCATGTAAGCAAAGTCCAGTAGGTTGGCACTGTGTGGTATTAGGGTCATAAAAATACTTTATATAGTCAGAGCTCAAAATATCCATATTATATACTAAAAGGAAATGATTCCCATTCTGTATTGATTAGTTTTCCCCTATTGCACCCCTTAAGGTTGGAAAAGTCATTCGACACCATGTGCAAGCACCTTGTTCAATCTTTAATGGCTGCACCATCACTTTGTGATATAAAGCAACAATGACAGGGTTCACCTTGTTCTTCTACTCAATGATGACTGACGTGCAATACGCGTTCTTTTGTTCTTTCATTTACTGTGACGGAGGTCATGTCAAGCAGGTTTGCAGTGGGGATGTCTCTGCTAGATGTGTGTTGCTGAGAAGACGACAGCCGAGGTTCTCTTCAGCTTGCATCATGTTTTCTTCACAATTAACAACCTCATATGTAGTCAAAGCTAACCAGTCAAAGTTTTTGCAGCATCCATGTGGGATCTCCATAGCGGCCGAGCCCCAGTGTGTATACTTCTGAGGAGGCGCTCAGCAACTATGGTGAAGCCTATGGTGTAACTTATGGTAGATGGTGGCTATGTTCGAAGGCTCAAGCTTTTTTGTTCCCCCTTTAAGAGTTATGCCCGCATATTTCATTCAGGGCAATCTCAGTCCTTTCATAAACTTAATAATTACTTAATATATAGCCCCTTTGACAGACGGAAGCACACAATAAATGTTTGAGATACATTTGTAGCAGTTGATCTGAGCCAGCTGTGTGCTGAGTCCTGAAGGGTCACATTTTTTATTTTTGTTTTTGTGCCCCTCAGTGCACCACTGTTCAGACCAGTTGTTCCCCAGCTGCTCCTCTGGTTGGCCCAAGCGCACTTGTTGTTAGCTCAATTGCTCCTTTAGCTGGCCTAATTGCCCTGTGACATCCCAATGGCTCTTGTGGTCAGGCCAAGTGCCCTTTTGATTAGCACAAATGCTGTTCTGGTGCGGTTGTAGGGTAAAAAAAAAATAAAAAAGAACCCCGCCACAACGCCTAAAATAGATAAGGTTCATGTCAAAGTGCCCGTTAAAGTGTGTGGACTAGCAGCTTTGGCAAAAAAAAACAGTAATTA